TTTATGGTATTTCAGAGATAGAACTGAAATCTGACCCTATAAAAATCTTGAGTGTTATTCTTTGTATCCCATTCTCTGAGTTTTCTTAATTTCTTCTTCTCCTGTTCCAGCTTCCTTGAATCTAGTTTGAGGACAAGTGAGAACACTTCACTTCTGAATAGCTGCTGAGGATGGAAAGATAGTGACACAGTTCTGTTTCCTAACTGATCCACTGGGGCCTCTATCACATAGACTTTTGTAGCTTAAAGAACTAGGAACCAGCAACCTTACCCAAAACTTTACTTTTGTCCAAAAGGCCTTTTTAAAGTAATAGTCTTCTGATAACATTTCTGGTCAGGCTTTGCATTTAAGGGTTCAGTCAGTGGTAACTTGGTGGAACTTAAACATTTATTGTAGGTTGCTAACTCTTCATTTTCTATGGAAGAAAAAAAGAGCAATTAGCTTAACATCAATGAAGCCATTGTTACCTGTGTTATTCAGTCATTCCTGTTAATTAGAGGGTCTTGTTACATACAAGATGTTGGTTTGTCTTAAAGTCCTTTGTTCTCTTTACTTTAGGTTACCTTGAAATACAGACCTGTGATCGACAGAACTTTGAATGAAGAAGACTGCTCATCTGTCCCGCCCGCTATTCGCTCATACTAGTAACTTACATTTAACTTGCAGTCCTCTCCCAGAGGGAGTTAGTGTATATAAGCATAGCACAAGCAAATCAAAATAGTATTGTTCACTATCAATTAATGGAAAATGTTGACTAAACTTTTCTTCAGCTTCTATTCTGCTGTGGCTTACTGTACAATTACGAAAATGGAATGCAGAGCAGCTTATGTTCTCTCATCCATCTGTCAAAGCTGACCGGGAAAACAAAATGTGTCTAAATAAAGTGATTAAAGTCTTGTACTTGTATTTGCTTGAATATGCTATTATGTATATAATTACATTCAAAATAAAAGCATTGTATAGTTATTTCCCTATTTTAAGAACAAGAAATGCATTGCAATAGTTTTAGATGAGATTCAGATGCTGAATAGGGGGACTTAAAATTAAGCATCATAATCGATGTTTGTAAGTAACATAAAAGAAAACAATGCACTAGTAATTACACCTTTGTTCTAAAGCTAAAATTGCAAAGAACTGTCACATTATTACAGGAAAGAAGATACTTCACTTCCTTCAAAATATACAATGAACAAAATATAATCTTAATAGCTAGTCTCTATTATTTATCTCTTGGACTTCTGAAGCTGTTTTTGTGGTGTCTTGTGTACTTTGTAGACTTTTCTCAGAGGAACCAAGGGGCAGCTTTGCAGAAGATTTATTTAATATTAAAGCTTATCTGTCTTGATGTTGGTGTGGTTCAGTGCTAATATGTAACTGGTAAGGTGTCAACAGAGCAGTTTCTAGCAGCTTTTTTGTATATAACTCCCAGTCTGTGGAGGTCTGAAGTGTAACTTTAACTTGATTTTTTACACTTCAGACCTCCACAAACTGGAAGGAGGTCTGAAGTGTAAAAATCAAGGTTTTTTTACACAAAATTGCAGATTGCAATTGAGTGTAGCATTTCTTCTGACAACTTTTTATGTTGGCTAGTGTTGGAAAAAATGAAATGCTGGAATGTTTGCTGGTGCTGGTTGGAAAAATTGAATATACCATCTTGCACTCTTGTAGTGTTTCTTCATCCTGAACCAGGGACTTGAGTCTGGGACGTGGAGTAATGTAACATGTTGGAAGTGCTGCCCTTGCATGGTCAGGAAGGGAAGAGGGGGCTACGTCTTGACATGGCTTTTTATAGACAGAGCCCCGCCTGTTGTTCAGGGGGGAGGCACTAACGCTCCCCCTATCTTGACCAAGGTTAGATAAGGTGGCGGAAGCCAAGGCGGCCTTTCCATCGTTTGTCAAGGGCTGGGCCCGCGGCCCTGGCAGGGAGGGCGGTTTCCCCCGGGCCCACCCCGTGCCCCGCCCGCGGCAGCCGATT